TTGCATTTGCAAGTCTGGGAAACACTGGTGTATGTCAGCAAACATAAATAAAAAACATGCTTCAGAACTGTTTTGAGAAGGTGCTTAAGTTTTGAGCCATGTATTATTACTATCAATTAGGCTACTACCAGGGGCGGAGCCAGACATTATAAACATTCGGGGCTTAGCCCACATGTAGTTGGGACTTGAATTTAGCGTGTATAATAGTCTTACTCATACAACTGCCTGCTGTTGCTTCTGATTGCTTTTAGATGGAAAAGCTGCCCATAACCCCTGGTCTAGGATCTGTTTTCTTCATAATAATAGCATAACGAAATAGATTTGGCAAACAATCCAGTGTATCCACCCTTCTGCTTTGGAAAGTGTCAAATGATTTTACAATGCATTTTCACAGAGGTGAGCAATGTAGCCAATCACAGACATGTTTGTTGATTTCTAAAACGCAATGGCCAATCAGAGGTGTTTAGGTTGGTATCCACGCACTCACCTCTCCAGTCACCGTTTTTTGTCCAGTGCTGTGTTCTATCATGCTTGTAACTTCTTTCTAACAAAGACATTTAAAAAGTCGTGTAGTCACGGTAGTCACGGTCATTGTTTTTTTGTTTGGTTGTTTTTTTGTTTTGTTTTTTAACTTTGTGAGATTGTGATGAATGAGTGACAGTTTTTAATAAATTTAAAGGGAGCCCTCTTTGCATGCTGTGTACGATAATATATTCAGAATTTAAATAAAACTTGTGTTTTTCATGCTTGACAAGTGGCCACGTACGACACAGAGATAGCTAACTACTACACTATATAGAAAAAGATAATAATTTCAGAAGCACAGATTTAGGTAAGGAAACGGTTATTATTTGTATTGGCTGCCACGCCAAATCATGCACACCTGCTTGCTTTTCTGTTTAATTTAACAGTGTTTTTGTGAACATATACAGTATATGCTTTAATAACAAATAATTGTAACACTTTACAATAAGGTTCGATTAGTTAATGTTGATTAATGTATTAAAGTGTGTTGACGTGTTAGTTAATTATTGTAAAGTGTTACCTAAATAATGTATTTCGATCGTTCACTTGAAAATATTACCATCAATCGTTAATTTTTCAGTGAGGTGATGACTTCGATCAAGCAGCATTAAGTAACATCAAAACTCCCTCACCTGAGGCTGGCTTTTTTCAATTTACTGTCCATAAATGTCAAAACGAGCTAACATCAGATAATGTTGCATGCAATGTATGTCAGCTAATGTTCTTTGACAGTGTTCACACACCATAGCAGGACTCTACATTCAGTTTTACTTGCCCTCAATTGTGCCAACATTTTCACTGGCCCAGACAAAAAAAAAAAAAACTAGATAGATAGATAAATTTATTCTGCGACATTAAATAATACCCCATTTGTGATTTTTTTTTTTTTTTTACAACTTTTACATCATTTTCGTATTTGCCCTTTGAAGCAAAAGCGAAACGCAAAAAAGAAATGCTCTGTCAGCACCCGAGGGTCTTTCATGCCATCCCCTGGCCATCAGCCTGCCCTGAGAGAACTATGGGTACACTTGACAACTATACACGATGCAACGAGCAATCTGTCTGTCAACACTAGATGTGACAGAGTTACAGGATGCCACAAAATCAATCAAAAATCACAGCCAATTAGAACAGAGTGTGGGCGGAGTATGTAGGACTGCGGTATGTGTGACGTGAGCTCGCTGTCGGGAGAGGAGAGAGAGAAAGCGCAGCTGATATCGTTTTATCGATCCTGCGGGAAAGCGGTATTGAACTGTTTTAAATATTTTTGTATAATATGTGTTGAAAAACGATATTTTTCACAAAACTATTTACAAACCCAAAAGATTCGGGGCTTTTGAAAAAACATTCGGGGCTGGAGCCCCAGAAGCCACCCCACCCCCCCCACTCCGCCCCTAGCTACTACTACTACTATCTTGTACCCTGCAATAATCATTTACTCAAACTCTTCTATGAGATGAAGGGGGGAAAAATGAAATAAAATCGGCCAAAAAAAAACGGCATCATATATCGGCCATCAGCTGCCCTGATTTCCAGATATCGGCATCGGCCAGAGAAAAACCCATATCGTTCGACCTCTATTAAAAATATAAAAAAGTACTCTGTGATTGGCTTTCGGCGCTTTGTATTAAACTATGCATACATACATGATGCTGTTTTGTTTATAGTTGTTTAAGCAACTTAATTAATTATAATTGGTTTATAAACATTATTTTAAACATTATGCACTTTTTTCACAGATAGTCGTGTTATTTTATTGCTTTGAATAAACGTGCATTAGTAATATTTTGCTCGATGCACCCTCTTGTGGCCTCAGGAGAGAAGCCAAAAGCTTTTTTTCACCCTAACTGAAATTATGCATTTTAAATTCTAATTTAATTCGAATTTTACACGTTTTAACATATTATTTTATTATTTCACACTGAGTATTTTAACTTATGCGCTGCAAGCCATGCATACAGTGCTGGACATGGACAAATCTGGTAAGCCAAACAAGTACTTTAAAGGAATTCCTTTAGCTTATTGCCGTTACTGTGGCAGCCAAAAACAGCACAGCTTAACCCTGCGCACATTTTTATGTTTAGTTATACTGAAAAAGTTTCAATTCAGTCAATCTTTTTTACCCCGTTTTAACATGGATTTCTATGGAGACCGGCAATAGCTGTCGGACAAGATGGCGGATAGCAACGGTGATACATAACATCCACATTCTGATTGGTCAGATCACCTGTCAATCAAGCTCTTTGCGAATGGCCCATTAGTTACCACAATTTAGGTCTTTAGTTTTTTTTCTAAATCCTTAACTTGGGACCGAAATTTCTACATGCAACATATTTTGACCTAAAGCATGGGGCCTAGCTAAGTGGCAACACCGCCTTGTTTTACAGTCATAAATAAACAGATGAGATGGAAAACCAACAGACTACTTGAGATGACAGAAGAATCATATCATTGGAATCACTTTCAGAATGATTATTTCCAGCTGATGAATGATAAAAACATTGACAGCTAATCAAAATCCAGCCGACTTAAAAAAAATCAAGCATTTAAAGCAGGATATGACAGAACTGCAACACACAATTATAAACTGATGGTCTGATGGTATGTCTGAGTGTGATGCATCTTATCAGTAACATTAGTATCTGTGTAACATTAGAATCTGTTTAACTAGTTAACTTGTATCAACTACCCAGATCAACCTAGTAGCCATCTAGCAACAATTTAGATCACCTTAGCAGCACCATTTTTTTCCCTGAAGAATTTAGTATTTTTATTCGGCAAGGGCAAATTACATTGCTCAAAAAGTTATAATAAAGTCATTTATAATCTTACAACATTGCAATTTCAAATAAATTTAATTAAAATTTTAAATGTAATGTATTCATCAAAGAATCCTGGGAATAAAATGAATCATGGTTTCCATCAAAATATGAAGCATTACAACTGTTTTCAATGTTGATAATAATAATATATGTTTCTTGTGCATCAGCATAATTTATTAAAAGAGAAAACAGTTATTTTAAAAAAATGTAATCAAATAAATGCTAAGAGTCTTTATTTAAAGGGGTGGTTGACGGTTATTTCACTTTTTTAACTTTAGTTAGTGTGTAATGTTGCTGTTTGAGCATAAGCAATATCTGCAAAGTTACGATGCTGAAAGTTCAATGCAAACGGAGATATTGTCTTTTAAAATGATGGCAGTTTAATGTCTACAGTTAGGGCTGATAAGGGACTACAACGAGCTTCTTCCCAGGTTGGTGACATCACAAACCCTGAAATTTACATAAACCCCGCCCCCAGGAACATGCAACAAAGGGGGCGAGGCCATGTTGTGCTTTAGGCCGTTTACACTAGTGCGTTTTCGTTTTAGAATGAAAACAATCCTCGTCTACACTGGCGTTTCAGAAACGATCTCCGTCCATACTACACAACCGAAAACGCATGTCACATGACCATTCATGCAAGTACAACCATAGATATGTATAGGTAGATTCCCTATTATTTAGATGGCGGATGCGTCTACGTGCGGTTGCCGTGGTATCGAGCAATACTTGGTGTCAAACACTTATTACTGTTACAAAATAAACAATTTACAAAAATGCTACAAACGCAATCACGTATTCTGCACTATTAAAGCTTTAATCAGGATAAAACCGTATATTAAAAGCTAACATAAGCAGTAGCATTTACAAGTATCAGCGCATCTAAAAGTATGAGACAACAACAAACAAAAAAACCTACTATTCTAAAAACGTCCTGTAAGAGCCGTGCTTGCACAGGTTCTGCGCGATCCTCTTCACTAATATTCTCTGGGTCTCATTCGGGCTCAAATTGATAAGCAATATTGACGACACCATTGTTTACAATACAACCGGAGCACGTGCAACTGAGCTGAGGGGCATGACGTTTAGACACACACTAGGTGATTTAGCCAATCACAACACACTTAGCCAGCTAACCAATCTGAGCCCATTTCTGAGGGAAGGGCTTCATAAAACCAGGAAATGATCAGAGCATTCATAGGAGAAGGGACAGCGGTGTAGAATAAAAGTAAATTATGTGAAACATAATACGTTTTTTGTTTTTTTTTAAACAAAGCATTAACTCATGTTAGACTGCACCCCATAAACACAATCAATCCTAGAAAAAAAAAAGCAGTCAACCACCCCTTTATCTTTTGAGTGGTAACAGTTTAAAATTCAAACTGTATCTTCACTAATTCAACATGTCAAACCAACATTCAACATGATCATTTAATTGTGCATTGTCCAGCCTCCCATCTGCAGACCTTAAGAGACCTTGTCATTACCTTTTTTGTACCCCCGTATTTTTGTTATTATTTTATTTGGATGTTTTTCATTCATTTTGATGTTAGCTTGGATTTAGAATTCATATTCATGTGGACAGTTTTCTATTAATCTGATCAACAACCAAGAAAGATCTAAACCTTTTTTTTTTTTCTTTTTTCTTCACAGTGCCTATGAAGACCGCAAGAAAGCCCAGGTCATTAAATACCTGCCGTGCACAGACCACATCATAGCATTTTAACCAAATATGTTCTAATATGTATTTTTTGTTTATTTTGACTAACAGGAATGCTGTCGGAAGCTTCAAGCAGAGCTGACAGAATTGCAAAATGTTGAGGAACCTCAGTCAGAAGATTTGAAACCTTTGGTAACAAACAGATTCACTCAATATAAACATAAATGTTTCTGTGTCTAATTATGGCTCTTTGTTCAGGAAGAGGACCTGGAGGAGCTCAGCAGCCGAATAAGTGTTTGTCGAGAGGAATTTGAAGCTGCGCGGAATCAGGTGTTGACACACAAGAGGGAATATGAGGAGGCTGAGCAGCTCTCCCGGCAGCAGAGGGAAGCTTTTAACAGCATTGTAGAGGAAGCTGAGACCATTAAGGTTAGAGAAGAAGTCAAGAGTGTATGTAACTAGGGCTGGACGGTATATCGAGTTTTTTTTTTTTATACGATATATCGATATCGAGGTAATACCGTTAATATCGATATACAGTAGTTTGATATGAGCGCATCTGAAAAAAATATAGCGGAGGACACAGACTGAACTGCTGCAAAGAAAGTGCATAATGCAATTTGTTCTAAATATGTGACAATCTTTATATGAAGGGTTTAAAAAAACTCGTAAGATATAGTAGCCTATAGTTTATGGTTTCAGTTTAAAGCGGCTCTGACAGAAAGGCTGTGTGTGCCGCTGACAGAGACGTGCTGTTTAATGAGTTTGAGATGTGCTGTTTTCCTAAATACATAACTTACATTTCACAGGTATATTCTCCATCTGTAAATGTTAGAAAGCCAAGGAAATATTTCCATTTTGCTGTCAGAAGTGCATGAGCCTTCTGCTTTGTGATTCTCCACTAAACTTCACAGACTTCATTTACCCCTTGTTTACATTGCACAAGTCTGCGGCGCGTTACGGCTCTGGCGAGGTTTTGTTCCGTCCTCCACGCAGTGCCAATTCACACCTGAAGCGTTACAGAAGCAAAGCGACAGGATTCGCGAGACCATGTGATTTGCCTGTACAACGTTGTTTTTCTTGATTTTATTTTTATTTTTTTGTTCTAACATGGTTGGCTAAATGTTGTTTTGTCCGGTTTAATTCTGTTTATTCCACTCCTACTACTCCTGCAATTAAACTCCACTCCTTGTCCTTTTTTGAATTGTCCTTGTAAAAAGGATTCGTGGGGAGCAAGGATATAGTGATATGAAATACGATCGGGAGTCTGCACGGTGTTTATTTTGAAATCGACATGATTTTTTTACTTTTATTTTGTATTTGCTTTGGGGCTTGGTCGCGGCGTCCGTCAAAAATAGACTAGGCGCCTATCTTTAGCGAAGCTTCTGAAACAAATTTTTGTTTTTAGATTGCAATGTTACAATGTTTGAATGTTATGTGATTTTAACACTTTTTTTGCACATAATATATGCCTACATTGTAACATTTACTTTATTTGTTTAATTCAAATACAAAAGCGTAGACAATACCGAGATATATACCGTATACTGCAAATCAGCCAAAAAATACAGAGATATGAATGTGTACAGCCCTATGTGTAACATCATCAGTGGACAGCTTTTAACTGTTACATGAATTAGTCCTAATTCATCTTTGCTAATGTTTAAAAATAGCAGGCTGTCAAGCTTTAAAATAAGGATCATGAGCTTCAAGTTCACTACTGAACAGTCCACAACAGCACACATTCTTAATTATCAATGTGTGCAATCTAGTAAACAGTTTTGTTTTTACGTGATTGCTTGTAGGAGCAATTGAGCAACAGTGATCAGGAGTTGGCGAGGAGTAAACATCATAAAAAACACTATGAAGAGAAGCGGAAAGCCCATGTGGACATGATTGAGACACTAAAGAAGAAATTGTATGAGAAGGACCAGGGGTTACAGGTGACCAAACCCTGACATCTGACACTGATCCATTAGATACAAAGAGATTTCCGTTTTTTTTGACTGAATCTATTTTTTGACAGGCTTCCATAGCGAAAGCCTCAGAAACTTGCCCCGAGCGCTTGGATGTGAGGAGAACAGCGAAGAGTTTGGACAGCGAGATCAGCCGCCTCAGACACAAGATCAACACACAGCAGGACCAACAAGGACACAGAGACACTATCGTCAGGTACATAGACACAGTCTACAGCTGTCAAACAAATGAGACCGGGTGGTATTTCACTCCAAAATCAAAAGAAAGAAACAAGAAATTAGATTTAATGTGAAGAAAAAATAAACCTATTTTTAAGACCATATACAGGATTAGTTCACCCAAACATGAAAATTTGCTGAAATTTACTCACCTTCCGGACATCCAAGATGTGGATGAGTTTGTTTCTTCACCGTAACAGATTTAGAGAAATTTAACATTACGTCACCAATGGATCCTCTGCAGTGAATGGGTGCCGTCAGAATGAGAGTCCAAACAGCTCATAAAAACATCACAATAATCCATAAGTAATTCACACCACTCCATTATATCAATTAATGTCTTGTGAAGTGAAAAGCTGTTAATTTAAAATTAAATTAAAAAAAAATGTTCAATCTATAATTAAGATGTTTTTTTAACATCAACGAGTGCTCTACCATAATGGACCTTTTTCACATTTCCGGGTTTCTCAGCAGCGGAAGTCATCATAGTTGGGTTAACTTGAATAGCAGTGAATGGGAGAGTACCACAAATATATTTTTTGCATTCCCATTTGCTCAAATAGCAAAAGAAAAACTCCACGATAGTGTATTCATGAATTTCAATAAAAGGAAAAAAATTTAGATAGACTGATAATGGCAGTCAGAAGAGAGAAAGATGTCAAATTTACCATCCCTCCCATAGACGCTGCATTAGAAACACCCTCGCATTAGCGTTAACTGTTTTTTTGTAATTTGATGCAAAGGTGATATAATACAAAGAATAGTGTTATAAATGTAGATACATTTTTTTTTTAAATACAAATATGAAAAACTTTTGAGGATTTACGATGCTAATGACCGTTAAACGTGTCATCAGTCTTGTGAAAAGGGGTCCATACTACTTTCTCAAGGGAAAGTCACCTCGTCTGAATCAATAGAGAAATATGCATTTACAAGCTAAAACAGCCCAAAGCAATTCTAAACAAATATGTGGGTAGATTTTCATGTGAGATTCCAAAAGGAGATGGACTTTATTCCACTGGAGGAAGTGTTATTATGGATTATGGACTCTATTTTAGCCGGAGGCAATGGTATAAAGTTAAAACACTGTAATGATGGATTTGTTTCTTACAAACATGCAGCTTTTTGCTCCACTAGATGTTAATTGATGGACTGAAGTGGTGTGGATTACTTGTAGATTATTGTGATGTTTTTATCAGCTGTTTGGACTCATTCTGTTTGGACTCTCACGACACCCATTCACTGCAGTGGATCCAAGTGATGTAATGCTAAATTCTCCAACTCTGATGAAGAAACAAACTCATCTACATCTTGCAGGTCTTGAGGGTGAATACTTTTTCAACACATTTTTACAGTTTTACAGGACATTTAAACATATTTCCTCTCTGATTCTCCCCTCAATTCTTAAAAGAAACTGTTTGTCATGTGAAATTATTTACTTATTAAATTATACCATGGTATTAACATATGAATAATCGACTCTTAAAATACTCTTTAATTTTTGGTCATACAGATAAGAGTAATACATCTTTCAAATCTGTGAAGACTCTACGTTTATTTGTGTGCACTCACAATAAAAACAAATTGCGCTTTTATGAAATAATGAAAGCAAACAGGATGCGCTTTCTGCCGTCTCGGTCTGTGAACTTGAGCGCGAAACTCCGTGTATATCTTAACAATTAAAGGCTAATTATAATGATTTAAATGGTTTATTAATAAACGTGCGATTAGACGACTAATGATTAAAATGAACGACTACTAGTCGACCAAAAAAATCCTTAGTCGAGGGCAGCCCTAGTACTGACAGTACCATGTAGTTATTTTCCCCTTGCCTCTATGAAGCGCATCTAAATTGTTTATCATGCAGGTGGGGTGTATATGTTATGATGTTATAATGGTGAAGTTGTTGGTCATTGAATCTTCTAGGCAGTTCCATGAGGCGAAGGAAAACTTCAATAACATAGACTGACAGTTAATAATGTAAGCAAACAGGATGCGCTTTCTGCCGTCTCGGTCTGTGAACTTGAGCGCGAAACTCCGTGTATATCTTAACAATTAAAGGCTAATTATAATGATTTAAATGGTTTATTAATAAACGTGCGATTAGACGACTAATGATTAAAATGAACGACTACTAGTCGACCAAAAAAATCCTTAGTCGAGGGCAGCCCTAGTACTGACAGTACCATGTAGTTATTTTCCCCTTGCCTCTATGAAGCGCATCTAAATTGTTTATCATGCAGGTGGGGTGTATATGTTATGATGTTATAATGGTGAAGTTGTTGGTCATTGAATCTTCTAGGCAGTTCCATGAGGCGAAGGAAAACTTCAATAACATAGACTGACAGTTCAAGGGTCTGGAGGCTATCATCTGCCAGTTAACTGAGATCATAAACCCCAAATACAACGTCTACACTGAACAGAGAAAGTAAGTTTCATTAGAGGCTCTTGTCTGATTCTCGCTGACTGATTTAAAATGTTTTCAAATAGATTGTTTTAATGTGTCTGAACTTCAGACCACTAATTCAATGGTCACAAATGAAACAGCCTTTGTTTGTCTGCTTTTGACATTTTAAGTCGCTCAAAGGAAAATCACTGTACGAGTTTTACTGAATTAAAAAATAACCCTATTAAGGACAATGCAAGCGAATAGGGTAAAAAAAAAAAGTCACCATACTTCCCCAGTTGATTGATTATATTAAGAATTGTGTTTTATATTACAAGTTTTTTGAAATGGTATGTTTAAAAATGCAAATAAGCCATTATTTAATTAAATATTTAACATTATAAACATTTCCAGAACAGGAATCTGAACATTATATAAAGCCAGGTTCAAAATTCTTGTTTCATTTTGTTGACAGAGTTAAAGTTTTTTACATCAGGGATTTTAGATATCGTTTTATCACTCCATAAATCAGAAAATACTGTACTTTACATCAGCCAGAAAAAAAAATCAGATGCACAAAGATAAAGTGCAGTAAAATAAGCTTTCTTTCCACTAGTCTGAAACAACATGTTACAAAAAGCCCAAAATCTCAGAATTTACCAGTGCATTCTAAAAACCAGTGGTTTTGCCTGTAGTGTCTTGCCTTAAAACAACAAGTTACAGTGGGACATATCAAAGGGCTTGTCCATTTTAGTGCAGATTTTAGGGTACTGATGGATAATGATGTAGGTTGTGTTTCTGTGTGTTTCCAGGTATTTTTCTGTACGCTGTAAGTACTACTTTGACTCCATGCTGTCTCAGAGAGGATACATAGGGAAGATGACCTTTGACCATAAGAATGAGACTCTCCATATCAGTAAGACTTTGCAAGATGATAACATCTTTGATGTAGTTGTTTTCTTGATGAACAAACACCGGATGCATGCATAGAGGCATGCAGTCTTGTATAATTTAATTTTGTTGAATAGCCTATGCTCTCAAAAATGTCCTTGGGGTCAGGATTTTACTCTACATGCAGTAACCGTGACTTTTTAAAAGTACAGTAGTTTCTCATGATGACGGTCATCTGTCTCTTCCTCAGGTTCAGCCAGAAGAGGGTGGTAAGGCCGCTCTGAGTGACATGCGTTCACTGTCTAGAGGAGAGCGTTCGTTTTCTAACTTGTGCTTAATCCTGTCACTGTGGAACATATCCGATGCTCCGTTCCGTGCTTTAGATGGGTTTGATGTATATATGGTAAGAAGTGTGTATATATATATATATATATATATATTTATTTATTTTTAATTTTTTTACATTTGACTTCAGTTGTTGTTTGTTTGGGGGTCTTTCTGCCTTTAGTTTTGTCTTCAGCAAGTGAAATGCATACTCAATCGGGTTGAGATCAGGAGATTGACTTGGCCATTGCAGAATATTCCACTGTTTTACCTTCAAAAACTCCTGGGTTGCTTTTGCTGTGTTTTGGGTCATTGTCCATTTGTACAATAAAGCGCTGCCCAATCAACTTTGCTGCATTTGGCTGAATCTGGGCGGAGAGTATATCCCTATACACTTCAGAATTCATCCAGCTGTTTCTGTCTTCTGTCACATCATCAATAAACACCAGTAACCCAGTGCCACTGGAAGCCATGCATGCCCATGCCATCACACTGAATTGATATTAATTTCAGCCATCCAAAGAATGCTTTTCCAGAAGTGGTCTGGCTTTTTTAGATGTTTTTGGCAAAGTCTCATCAGGCCTTGTTATCACCTTGTGGTGGTGAACCTTCTGTATTTGCTCTTGTGAAGTCTTCTCTTGATTGTAGACTTTGACAGTGACATGTCTACCTCCTGGAGAGTGTTCTTCACTTGGCTGGATGTTGTGAAAGGGTTTTTCTGAGAGGATCCTCCGATCATCCACCACTGTTGTCCTCCGTGGATGTCTAGGTCTTTTTATGTTGCTGAGCTCACTAGTGCTTTCTTTTTTTCTCAGAATGTACCAAACTGTTGATTTGGCTACTCCTTATGTTCCTGCTATCTCTTTGATGGATTTGTTTTGTTTTTGAAGATTAACAATAGTATATTTCACTTGTATGGAGAGATCCTTTGACCGCATGATGTGGGTTCATTAAAGCTCAGAGTGTGCACTTTAAGCCCACATTCATTATATAACTGTAACTTAAATATGTTTTGGTCAGCAGCTAAAATAATAAAAATTGTGTCTGTGTCCAAATATATATGGACCTGACTGTTTAAAGTATAACCACACAGGTTGACATGATAGAAATTTTAAATCATTACTATCATGACTATAGTAATGATAAAAAAAACCATGATTAAAATAGCTATAGTGCTCTCCATAACATAAATAGTCAATAACAGTAACAATTATGACTTTTCTTGGGGGATCTGATGGCTTGTCTGTTTTCTTTAAATGTCACATCAGTAAAGATTAGGATGTTATTATGGCAGTCCTTCAAAATGCATCATAGCTGATATTGGTGAAACTTTCATATATTTTAGATTCATTACATGTAAAGTTAAATATTTCAAACGTTTTTTTTGTTTTAATTTGAATGATTAGAGCTTACAGCTCATGAAAGTCAAAAATCCAGTATCAAAATATTAGAATATTTACATTTGAATTTCATTAAATGACCATCCCTACAGTATAAATTCCGGGTATCTCTTGTTCTTTGAAACCACAATAATGAGGACGACTGCTGACTTGGCAATGGTCCAGAAGACAATCATTGACACCCTCCATCCACAAAGAGGGTAAGTCACAGAAGGTCGTTACTGAAAGGTGTGGCTGTATCAAAGCATATTAAATGCAAAGTTGACTGGAAGGAAGAAATTAGTGTTTCTGCTTTAATTTTATTGAAAGGTTTTTTTTATTTTTATTTTGGGTTCGTGTCATTTTTATTAGTTTTTTTATATGGTTTTACATTTTAATTTATTTGAGGTATCAAAATGTTTTATGGTTGTAGTTTTTAGTTAATTATAATAACTCTGATCAGTGTTGTTTTAACCACCATGACTTAAGGGTGAGTTCAAGTTCTTCAAAGTATGTTCATTTATGCACTCAATACTTGGTCGGGGCTCCTTTAGCACAAATTACAGCATCAGTGAAATGTGGCATGGAAGCGATCAGCCTGTGGCACTGCTGAGGCACTATTGAAGCCCAGGTTTCTTTAATAGCGGCCTTCAGCTCGTCTGTATTGTTGGATCGACTGGTACTCATCTTTCTCTTGAAAATATCCCATAGATTCCATATGGGGTTCAGCACGGCCAGCGGACTGGGGAATAGCCGCGGCTGGCGGGCAGGACAACGGCGTGGCCAATGCGCTTGGTCTTCTGAGCGGTCGGCAGGCTTGTCTTCGGCGCGGCCAGTGGGCTGAGGTGAGCCGCAGCTGGCGGGCATGACAACGGCGCGGCCGGCACGCTTAACAGCTGGGCGGTCTATCCGCGGAGAC